GCAGTGACTGGAGAAATATGAGAATATATGATTAGAAGGGACAAAAGATTTCATATATTATTGATATCTTGATGTGTTGATTACCACTTTCTTGAAAAACTGACAAAAATGAGGCTCACTTTCAGTCTTCAACGAACCCAATTCACCTCCGATTTTTTAAAGTGAAAATACTGTGCACTAAGGACTTGCAAAAGGAATGTCATTTCATGTTTATTAATAACTCAAATGACTGCGAATCATCGACTAATGGCTATACAACTGTTTACTATTCAGTTAAGACAGATGTTTGATGAAATTGATCTGTAGTCCCATTACTGTCATCTAAATCGTAACTTGCTTTTATTTGTTTGAAATAAATTCAAGTTAAACGGCTAGCTGACATTGAACTTGCAGGTGTAGTACAGTGGAAGGGTAACATGAGAAGGTGCTGATTCTTACCTTGTTGAAAGCTTTTCTGCCTCGTATAATGATTGATATCCTTTACAATTGTTTCTCAGTAATAAAGGAAACAAATATATATATACGATTTGTCTACCACAGGGAATAACAATTGCATTATTCGATTGGGTAGTAAGGAAATCAGATGAATTTGGGAAGTCTAGAGCTATAAAAGGTTAGTAAAGCAAATTTAAAATATTCTGTTTGGTAGCTTCGGAATACAGCATTCAAACCATAATTCAAAAATTAAGTAAAATTATTAATCTGTAAGAACAAGAAACCAGTTTGAGTTACCTTAAATTTTCAGCGCAGTTATTTTGAAGAACAGTCTTCGATTTCTGAGTACGTGTAATGTTAACAATTATTTTTACAGGGAACACAGCTGTAACGTCGGAAACTGAACAAATCGACAAGAAAATTATTGTTTATCTGCGCACCAAATCGCCGTCGTTGTCATTGTTCGTGCCGTTAGCCGATACTGCGTACTTTTCGCTGAATTGGTTATTTTGCTTTTTCTAAGTTATATCAGCCGGATATTGACAGTTGGGGTACACACAAACTTCAGGCTGAAAAACTGCAACTGAAGGATGGGAAATATAATTGTAAGTACGCATAAAATACTTTGTTTTGTTTATTTGGCTTTAATGCTTCAAATGTGTTAGAGAAAGATTGTCCAAATTGGAATGCTTTTTCTCCATAACTGTTTGGGTACCACAGTTATCAAAGGATTGTGTTTTATAGTATGTGCTTTTCATTGTTTCTTTATCCACGGGTGGTCTAAATTATGGTTCGACACCATTAGTCTAAGATACCTGCTAAAGTTAGTAGGCTCTGACAGTTAAACTGACTTATTAATTATCTTTCCAAAATAATAATCTTTAAAGAAGTGAATTATCGATGGTGTCATCAGCTCCAGACATGTTGAACTGAACTAGCAAAAGCGTGAAAATGCAGCACTTGGATCACAACTTGACTTTAATTCTCGACCTTTTGTAACCATGTTTTCAGGGCCTAAATGGATCTAGCGAGAATCGTCGGAAAATTGCTGAATATGCCCAACTTCGTGAGGACAGGATTGCAGCAGTGCGGGGGCGCCTTAATACTTCAAAGGGGGATTTGTTGGACGAAATAAGGAGTTCAATTTTGTCTAAGAATCTTTTAGAACTGATAGGTGAGAGTTAAATCCAGTTTTGCTAACATTTCCTTCTGAACATTTAGTAGTGTTAGTACTGTTCAATGAGGGTCATATATCGAGAAGAACTTTATGCTTTTGTTTCATTAGTCAGGAGATGACATTCATGAGCGGCATATTTGAATCAAAATCTTTTGCAGAAGCGCTTCAGAAAGAGGAAGTGACAGCCGAAGAAGCGCTGGACGCATACATTTGGAAAGCTTTACAGCTTCACGAAAAATTTAACTGCGCGGCTGAATTTCTTATTGAAGCCTTTGACGAGGCAAAGAAACTTGATGATGTCTGGCATGGAAAAACCAATAAGCCTCCACTGTTCGGTATACCATTTAGTGTGAAGTCAAACTTTAATGTAAGTTTTCGTTGAATTCCACTCAGTTATTAGATTAAAAATTAGGAACGGTGACGATATTAACAATTATCACAGTCATATTGAATTTTTCAGGTTAAAGGGTATGACTGTAGTTTGAGTCTTGCAAAATTTTTGGGTAAGCCAGTATCGTCTGACTGTTCATTTATTGTTCATTTGCGGTCCTTGGGAGCCATACCGTTTGTCACCACCAATGTGCCTCAAGCACTGCTAAGTTACGTGTGCTCGAGTGCGGTTTATGGAACAACTGCGAATCCGTATGATCCTGGAAGGT